CGAGATGAGCAAACCATAGAGTTATTATAATGTACGATAGAGGTTTAACTGGCGCTAGTGTGCTGCTGCAAATTGAAGCAGACAGCAACCAGTCCGAAATTGACTTCCGGTAATGCATTTCTATGGGAAAAAGCGAGTGCATTTTCTCTCTGGGATAGATTATAACAGCAAATATCACGACTAATTCGTACGCACTAGGTAGCTTGGAACATTTCTCAGTCACGCGGAGGAAATAATTGGTCAGTTACAGCGTTTTTATTTGAAATTCGTGGCACGAAAAACGGTGCTAAAACCGCTTCGTACGTGTATTTATGTGCACTGTCGGACACTGTTAGCGCGAACACGGCGTCGGCGCTTTCCAGCATGGGGGATATACGTGCCAACGAACGAAGGATATGTGGAAAACCAAGAGAGACGCCAAGAACTACGTAGTAACACTGGATAAGTAACTCCTTGTGCATGCAGACGATCAAAAATAAATTGAAAGTCACGTAATATAGCCAGATTTGCAATAAATGAGTACTGCTTTATTCTTAAGTTTCTGCTTCTGAATATGTGCGAAGATGCTTGATCTAAGTTCACATCATCACCCGTACGCTCCAAATCTTTGCAAATATGGCGAAGCCAGAGAACAGTTGCCCGATTAAAACTGCCCGACATAGGAAATAATAAAAAGACACCTTTCGTAGCCATCATACTTAATTTTTTTTTCTTTTTTTTAACAGATCGTAAAGATGCAACGGGCATATTAGCAATACATAAGTGCCACCGGAATGCTGGCGAACCTTGAACGCACTCTACATTCTTTTCGATTGTTATTTTGCTTAGAATCGTCGCTCATTTTTACATATCTGCCATGGAACATAGGTTTGGGACTGAAATATAGCGAAGTTTTACATCGTTCAGTGGTAAAGAAAAATGCTGTAACGAAAGCAATCACACTTTCACAATATTAATAAATGTACATACTATCCGGTACAACCGAAATCACAAAAGTTATTCGTGTCATTTTCAGGCGAAGAGACAGAATTCACGCGCGTTTTCCCATAGGAATGCACAGGAGCACCGCAAAAGTAGACTGGTTGCTGTCTGCTTCAATTTGCCTCCCGGAAGTCGCATAGACACTAGCGCCAGTTGAACCTCTAGCGTACATTATAATAACTCTATGGAGCAAACCACCCCTGGTGGCCTCATGTCGACTCCAGAGACTTCCTACCTCCATGCCGTCAGCGGATGGCGTTAGCAGACGAACCGCGTTCCTCGGTCGCGTTAGCAGACGAAGCGTTTACAAACGCTATCTCCGCTCGCTCCGCGAGAGGCAAATTACATCTCGCTCTCGCTACGACCAACATCGGGCCTGCGGTGATCGGACCCCAGGCACCAACCACACTTGCATCAAGCCTCGTTGGAGCCGTCAAGGGTTCGCCAGGCGACCGCTTCCCGCTCTCAGCGTCGTCCCTGCACCGGCGCGTCCGGCTTTGGCTGCGTTCATTTTAGCTATGGTGCCTGGAACGCGTCTCCGGCTGGTGAGTTCACCGCGTCCCCAAAACCGTGGTCCCTCGATGCAGACACCTGTTCTTCTGCAGGTCGTTCTCCAGTGAAAGCAGTGACACTCGCTGCGTTAGCTCGCGCTTTTCGCCACCATTTCTACGACCAACCGCCAGGATCGCGGCATCCGACAGCATGACACTCCGGCTTCTGTGACGTCATTTGTCGCCACTTTCGGGACCACGTTTGATGTATGGGCAGCATAGGACGCTCAAAACACCCATCGGAGACGCGCTGCAGGCACCATAGTTTAGCAGACGAGATTCGAACACTAGCGTCCGCTTGCTGGTTCCAGGAGCCAGCGTCTGCGTTCGCGTGGCGAGGCGCTCCCAGGAGACGCTTCGTTACCAATGGTGACGGTGAGCAGAACAGAAGGACTTCATCGTGTGGAAGGACGGAGGTGCGTGGAGAGATCAGGTGGGTGATTGAACTCTTTCGTCGTGCTTTTCAACGGGCGAAACGTATATAAAAGGAGTTTGAGATAATAAGGACTCAAATAAAATGACCGCCGATTCTCTCCATCGCCTAATATTTTTACAAGCCTTCCAAGCGAACACACACAAAAAAGTTCGTTTCGAATTTGACTTTTTTTTTCTTTTTTTACAGCAATATGCGGTAATTTATTGATGTGCCCCCCTGTCGATGCTTGGGTGGTTCCTGACGTTAGACACAGAACTCGGAGATGCGTTTAAGGCACCTGGGTTACCTGTGTGGTGACATCGACATATCTGTCGTCGCGGCACTTCTTTTTCTTTTCTTTTTGTTTAAAGGTCCCCTGCGTTGTCTAGAAGACGCTGCGAAAAGCGAATTCTTAATCGGTAATGGGTAGTACAAACTTGCGTGTGTCATACCCCAGTTATGCTAGCGCTCTTAACTGTTACTAAGCCAACGACAGTTGACTTAATCGCGATCGGCCGGAGTTTCACGGCGGCGCTAACTGCCATTGAGCTGCTGACGATCACCGAGTCGGTGGCCGAGTGGGGATTCCAATTTCGAACGCCGTAGCGCGCACGTGGAATGAAACGCTCCGCTGGGAGTCCGATGACGGCGGCTCCGAGCCGCGGTGATGTCGTGTGCGGCGATGTTCCAAATGACTACGCAGTGATACTGCCTACCCTGCCGACAGGAGAAGCCATGAAATGCAGCCTTGTGATGCATGCTGATACCCGGGGGCGGCCGTACCGTGCTGAAGACTTCGTATAGGGCCTCTGAATCAGGTGGGAGTTCGAGAAGACGTAGCAGGGCTTGGCGCGTTTCAAATGGGGCAGATCTGGCTGCTGAAGCTAAACACTACCTCCGCCAAAGAGAAGCTTCTGTGAGAGGGGACCGTGCTGGTGAAGGGGCGACCATGCCTGGTAACTGATCCAGAAAAACAAGAGCTGAAGGTAAAAGTCCACTGGGTGGCATTCGACGTTTCTGCAGACGCCCTTCCCGCGAAAAGTGGAGAATCGAGGGCCTGGCAGACGTGGATTCCACTACTGTCATCAAACGCATTGTGCTCCGTGAAGACTTAACCCCGGAGTCCCTGCCGTACCAGCTGCGCCTTTACGGAGGCACGCTGCTGGTTGTTGTTCCCAGGCGCGCACCGGTGTGCCTCCGCTGTCGACGCACGGGACACATACGGCGCGACTGTAGAGTGCCGAGGTGCGAGGAGTGTCGAGCCTTCGAGCATGAAGCCTCAAATTGCGTACGGTCGTACGCTCGAGAGGTCGAGGCGGCGGCGACTCCAACCGCGAGGATTTCTTCGCAAGACCCTCAGGCGTCCGGTAAGCAGCAACGCGCGCCATTAGCGATGCCAGAAGGCCAGGTCTCCGTCGTAGCATTGACGGCAGAAAGCACTGTTGGTGAAAATGAGCCTAATGCAAAGACCGCCAGTGAGACGACACCGACTGCAAAGGACGCGACTGGCGCACTGGACGCCGAAGATGAAACAGCAATGGACTCCGCGGCGGCGGCGATCAAGCGGTGGCTCAGCGACCCGGAGGAGGGAACCGACCAGTCGCTCCAGCAGACTGAGAGTCCCTGGTTGGTAGTGACGAGCAAGAGGGGACGACGCGCTGGCCGCAGCCGTTCTTCGTCTCTTCTCAGGTAGAGCGAAAGCGGAACACTTCCGGTGAAAAAATGGTTGGACGAAAAGTGCATATTTGTTCCCTGGACTGTGAACTGTATCTTGCGCAAAAGGCGGTATGCTGATGTAGATGCTTGAACAGTGTGTCACTAGTTTACTCAGGGCATTATTCAAATTAGAGAAGTGTATAAGGTTTTGGGAGATGGGCCTGATTGGTTGCCAATTCTATAGACGGACTGGTCACATTAAGTTCATGTTAATCAGTCTGCGTCAGCCGTAATTCAGCTTGCACTCTTTTTATAAGTGTTTCTGAAAGTGTTTTTTTTTTTTTTTGTGAATGAATGATGCCTGGCCATAAAGAAAAAAATAAGCGTCGGTGGCCGAGTGGGCTAGCGCACACCAGCTCGGAGCACGTGGAGCGAAAGCTCGCGCTGCAGAACTCGGGGACCCTGGGTTTGAGCCCCACCCCTGCCCGTTTCGATCTGGATGAGCATCGTACCGGCGTGCGGTCGTGTATCACTACTGCGTGGTGCACGTTAAAGACTACAGACAGTACTGCACTGGCTAAATTTCTCATCTGCAGCGAGTGACTCGTCGCAACTTTGAAATGGATGACCAACAGCGCGCTGTATAAATATCCACACAACTCCAATTATTTTTTTTCACCGAGTTGAAGTGAGCTGGCTTTCCTCAGTTAACTGATGGGGGTTCGCCCACTGATCTCTATTGGGTGATTCCACGTCAGTTAGTGCTACGATGGTCCGGGTCATAATTTTGAGATTTTCGCTAAACAATATATATGAAAGCCATGTTCTTGGGAGGAACATTCAGTTATATATGAACGCCGTAACAATTTTTTTTTTCGCTGAGATATAAAATAGAGAAGCTTGAGGCGTTGAAATTGAGAAGATTTCACGATGCTGGTTTGCACAGTCACTTTTTCATCGAAACTTTCACATCACCCTAAGTTTTTTTTAATACAGTTTACAGAAGATATACGACACATATACATAAAAATTAAAAATATCAATACAATATTTTTATGCTAACAAAATTATCAAACATGGCATAAAAACGCGTTTTAGAGACACATTCACATTTTTTTTTTTTTGCAAATAAACCATTTTTTGTAATGCTTCACAAAACATATCAAAATGTGCGTCCCTAAATATTCTTTACGACTATATAAATATAATATGCCCAGCCTTATTTTTATTCTTGTTATTAACGGGGAAATGCAGCTGTTCTCTCAAAATGTGGCAAAATTGGGTGTCAATATTAAAAAAAAAAAAAAAAAACTCCATATATTATTTTATTTTTAAACTCCCCTTAGCACTTTGCAGTGACTTGAACTAACTTGTGATGGCAAAACATTGAGTAACGTATGACCTCCAATCGGGAAAATCTACGACAAACCTTCACTCGGAGCGAGCCGACGTCTTCGTCATAGCGGCTTTGCCGCACCGCATCGAACTTTTTGAGCATAAGCTATGGCATGTATTTTATATATTTAAAATTATTTTTTTCATAAGGGGTGAGTATAACTGACGCGAAAAGGGACTTTGAGCTGTAAAACCATTAATTAGCTTACAATTCACAAAAACAAAACGGCCCCACTCTGCGAATTCGCTAACTATGCATACATGAGCTTAAAACTCTCAGTTGTGCAAGTGGCCATGTATACATCCGGCCTCTCAGCGTATGATGACTTCCAGAGATGAGATGCCTGGATTCCTCGCACAGGTTTTACAGTGGTCAACTCTGCTTGCTGCGCCGCACGAAACTCTTGAACCCGTTCCGCAGACAGGTGGAACATGCAGACATTTGTTACTTTTTCATGTAGCACTTACACAATTTTCTTAGCGGTGACAATCGTTGAGTTGAGCAAAGATCTCAAGTTGGTGGGCGTTGCGTGGTGTTTAAGAACACCACCTACTCCATCACAAGCACTCTTTCAGTGTCCAGTGGCTGAAAAGATCTATCTTGCCGAAGAGTACGGCTTCCGTGACGATTTTTGCAATTGGAAGCGATTCTTAAAATGCGCCGCCGCTTCGTCTGATACAAAAATTATTTCATAAAAGACTGGGTAATGTTCATCAACATACTCTTTTATGGCCTCTGTGGCTAGAAGAGCGTGAGCTGTGTCATGTGTTGTGTCATCGCTGACAACGGCAAAGCTCTGCGTGCCTTGCGTGGACGTAACCACACATGTGAAGAGAGACACTTGAGTTTTTTTTCCAATGAAAACTCTGCACTTCGGTTGGGAAGATTACTGTCCAATTTTCCGCAAAATCGAAGTGGAACATCACGGCCTTGGGTGGTAAGGCGGTTCAAGTGTGATGTATCAGGCTTCGTTGAAGGTCACGGATGTAAGGATGCCTCATATAGACGATTGCAAGCTGGGCGACTGGCCGCCGCCATGTCTCTGCTCGAGCAGGCACGCCCGTGCGATTACGGGCTTGCCAAAGCTACGTTCACCCGCGCGTTGCACGCGCTTGCACGCATGGGGCACCACTTGTGGCGCCATGCTTGCAATTGTCTATACTTTTCGATCTCCAGTTCCCGCAAGAAGTTGGAAGTGTCCATAACTTTTTTGACGAGTTCGCCGGCGTCCCATAATGCGAAACAGATATCTTCGTCTTCGTCAAGATGGAGCGACTGCACCGAGAGGCTCTGCATTTTTAAGCACTTTTCGCAACGGCGCAAGAGGCAATCGTTCTGTGGAGCGCTGCAGAGGTAGATGCGCTTGAGGTCGTCTTCAGTAAATGTCTTCTTTGGGCTTTTTTTAGTGCCGTTAAAAACAACCCAAAATTGACGCAACGTATGCATGCACACACCTCGTGCTCGGGACTTTTTTTTACCCATTTTGGTCGTAGGGAATAAAATTTGGAGATGCCTATAGTTCTGGATGGGGATGGTCCTTCCTAAACAGCCGGTAAGCTTTCTTAATAGAGCGGGTCATAAACCTTTTTACGACTTTGGACATGTTGTCGTTGATAAGGGCTTTGACGACGTCTTTTTTGTTGGGGATTTGAACAGAGCATGCGAGGTCGTCGCGTGTGTAGTACTCAATTGCAACCCTCACGTCTTCGGCATTCGCCTTTTTCCCCATGTAGGGAGCAGGAGTTGCCCATACACCACTCTTACGCTTCAGTCTTCTTATATGATCAATCATGTAGGCAGTCGCTTCCGGAACCAGACGCAATATTTCTTTCTTCGAGATGCTTGATGGCAGAAGCGTGTACAATCGTTTGCGTTCCTGGTGGGAACTGCATGCCTTCAGCGCTTCACGGAACGCGTCAAACCTCTTCGCGCAATGCTCACAACTGTCTTCGCCGGTTTTCACGTCATAAACGCTTGATAGCTTTCTTCTAATCGAAGAACTCACTTGAGCTTGTTTTTTCTTCAAATACGTTCGCGCCTTTTTTTATGGTTTTACGCTGTTTTAATGGAGTTACCGACGGACTAGCAGCAGTAATGTTTGGAGGTGGGCTAGTCTGGCTAGTTTGGATGTAATGTTAGTATGTTTGGAGGTGGCTAGTTTGGAGGTGGACTAGCAGCACACGAGTCTTGACTCACTTCAGCCAGCATTTCATGTGAGTCCCGGAAAGAAGAGTTTGATGTACTCACGTTGTGAGGAGTATATAGCAATCTCATTCTGGAGGCATTTGTAGCAATGCTGGCATAAAAGGTCAGATTCGTTCACTGTCCGTGGAGCCAGTAGCTTTTCCAACCGCACTTTGTTGAGTCTCCCTACCGGCACGAGGTGCCTATCGCTCTACACTTTCTTGTGTCTCCGTAGATAGTCCACACAGAACAATCGCACGGTGATGAATCGTTGGGCCATGGCTGTTCGATCTGACACTAGGCTCTTACTCGCTTCGTAAATGACAGAACTTGAAACGTCCTCGCAAACGCCTATTTGAGAGGTTCTGAATTTCTCACTCCCGGTTCCGAATACCCGGTTCCGAAAGGAAATGTCCTTGTGGTTATCAACTTCTGTCTTCCCTTGTAGATGTAATCGGTGCGTCGCGCACGGTGTTTGCAGTTCCACTTGTTCAGCACCAAAGACATCGAATCTCCTGTAAGGATAGCGATAGTCAGCCGTTTTTTTTTTTTTTTTTTTAATCACTTTGTGAAAGTTTCCTTTCGGTGTCGGAGTGTAGTTTGTGTGTGAGTGTGTACTGGGGAAGGGAGGTTACGGCGGTAAATTAGGAGAGGGGGTTAGGGGTTCTGTCTCAGTCGGTTCACATAGCGTGGTGAAACTCATCTCTTTAGGTTCTTGCGAGAGGTGCCCGTTCCCGTTAAAGGGAGGAAGTGGCCGAGTGGGCTAACGCGTCTCAGCTCGGAACGTGGAGCGAAAGCTTGCGCTGGGAACCTCCCCACCGCCCCCGTCCGTTTCGAAATGGGTGAGTTTCGTACCGGCACGCGTTCGTGTAATCACTTCTGCGTGATGCACGTTAAAAACCCCAGGTTAGCGGTTGTTCTGCACTGGCAAAATTTCTCATCTACAGCTAAGAGACAGACCACCCGTTGAAGCGTATACCTCTGGAGATCAAGGCTTTATAAACATACAAAGCAAGCCCATTTTTTTTTTTCCCGTTCCCGTTGCTGTCCTTAAGCTTAGAGTGATTTACTTTGTCCGGTTAGGTTCGGTCAAGTCTTTGCGGTCGCCTGTCTTTATCTTCCTTATTTTTTTCATTCTGCGTGGGCATGCATGCATTTATCTTCGTTCTTCTTGTGAATAAGCTCAGCTGCGTTTGAAAATTCGTTTCGCACTGTCTGTTTCCCCCCCCCCCCCCCCCCCCTGGTTTCAGGGTTTAGATTGCAATGGTTTCCTGCATATTTTCCCGTACAACTACTCTCACCTTAATTTCGCGTAACTGACTCTTCACGTATTTAACTTTGGGTTTCAAGGTACGATTCGTAACTGCCGCCAGCAGTGATGTTCGCAGGCGTTTCTTGTTCGAGATAAGGGGTGGGGAAAAAGGGGGCGGGTTGGGGGGGGGGGGGGGGTATGGTCACGCAACGATAAAGCAATGCTCGGAACAGCAGGGCGTTCCACTCTCTACGATAGAGTCCCGCTTTCCAGTTTTTGACGCTTCCATGAAGGCGACGTTATGCGGCAAAGCCGCTATAACGAAGACGTCTGCTTGCTCCGAGTGAAGGTTTGTCGTAGCTTTTCCCGTTCGGAGGTCATATGTTACTTAATCTTTTGTCATCAGAGGTTAGTTCAAGTCACTGCAAAGTGCCAAGGGGAAATAAAAAAACAACTAAAAGATGGATTTTTTTTTTTAATATCGACGTCCAATCTTGCCACATTTTGAGAAATCAGCCGCATTTCCGCATTAATAACAAAAATAAAATTAAGTATGGACATATTATCTTTATATATCCGTAAAGAATATTTAAACACGCGCATTTTTATATGTGTTGTGAAGTATTATAAAAGATGTTTATTTGCAAAAAAAAAAAATGTTAATATGCCTCTAAAACGCGTTTTTATGCCATGTTTGATTTTTTTTTTTTTTTGCATAGAAATATTTTATTTATATTTTTTTTGTATGTGTTGTATATATTTTCTAAAACATATTTAAAAAAAGTTATGGTGACGTGAAAGCTTCGATAAAAAAATGACGACTGTGCAAAGTAGCATTGTGAAATCTTCTCAATTTCCACGCCTTGAGATTCTCTATTTTTTATATCAGCGAAAACAATTGTTACGGCGTTCATATATAGCTGAATGTTCCTCCCAAGAACATGGCTTTCATATATATATTTTTAACAAAAATATCTAAAGTATAACCCGGACCATCATTGCATGAACCGACGTGGAATCACCATATTGTAGTAGGCTCTATCGCGGATCGGGGCTTGCCTTGCTGGGGTCGAGTGGCACCACCGGCAACCATCACTTGACACGTCACTCGCCAATGCATGGGACTCCATGGGAAAAAACGAGAAAAAGTGCCGTTTCCCCCTTTTCTAAGCTGTTGTCGGCACCGAAATATTTGGCTGCTTTTCGTGAAGACTGTCAAATAGCTTGTGAACAAACAGTAAAACTGACAGCCCTCACAGTTCTTATAAATTTATGTTTTGTGGTCAGGAGTGACTCCGCTGGGCGAAAAAGGTAGTGCAGTTCAATGAAACAAGAGTTTCCTAGAGTTACCACGGAGTCGGTGGCGGTTTCGTTGAGTTGGGTTTGGCCAGAGTCGTGTATACAGAGACGCTGTTTACCCGCCATGTAACGAGCTTCTAGTAGTGGCATGTAAACAAAATAACGCCCACGTTGCCTGTATTGACAAAATACATGGGAGATGGAATCCCAGCGTGTTTTTGTTAGCTTCAACCTCCAGTTCTGGCGAGAAGGTAACGCGGCATCGATCATTTTTACGTCCGCTTGGTCTGCTTGGTTTGAACACTGTTTTGTGCGTTGTCTTGTTAATGAGCGTTGAGTCTCTGTTGGGTTCGAACACAGTTTTGTGTGTTGTGTTGTTAATGAGCGTTTGACCTGATATTCTGCAGCCGCAGGCTTTATTTCCATGTATTAAAGAGAGAAGACTCGTGTCCGAGTGGATTACTGCTTCAGAAGAACAGGGGCCTGGATTCTACCCCCCCCCCCCCCCCCCTAACTTCGCAGCTGGCACAAGCTTTTTGTTTTTCAGATTTGTGCTCGCCGTCGTATGCGCTGTGGTACCGGCGAGGAACACACGGCTACGCTTGCACGGTGATTGACATTAACACACAGCGACGGACAAATGGCGATGTATATACGCTGGAAAATGTACCCCCTAAAATGAACTACTGATAATTGCCGGTGTAAAAAAAAAAATCGATGGCTCTCCATCGCTAAAACCCACCCCAGCTCCGCATGCTGAATCTTAAGCCTGGTTCAGACAGTTGCGTTTGACTGCGTTTGACTGCGTTGCGGCAGCGAGAAACCAGGACATCCCTGCTGCTTATATCGCGTGCCATGATGATTCCTTGAATTGGAGTCCACGCTTCATACGAAGCACAGATGTGCCGGAGACTCACTTTCGGTACTCGACGCAACGCAGTCAAACGCACTCAAACGCAAGTGTCTGAACCGGCCTTTAGAGTCACTTTCGCAAGCGGGATCGTAACACCTCCCCCTTCTAGCCCACCACAGCTCGACCCCAGCGACACAAGTCCCGATCAGCGATTCAGCCTACTACAATAGAGATCAGTGGTTCCGGCTCTGGTGCCGCACGCGATCACAAAAACGTACAAAAATAAAAACAAAACAAAATCGAAACGCAGTTTTAGCGAAGGTCATAGCTGAGACGCTAAAAGCTCGAGGCAGGATACGCCGTCAAACGCTTTCCAGAGAAGAAAAAAAGAAAAAAAGAAAAGAAACCGAAGCATTGCAACATCACCACCACCCAGACGCCACCACCCAGAAATAAAAGACGCGTGCCCCAGAGCCGTATATGTAGAGAGTTTGGTCAATGGGAGGCGCGGGCAGAGCCAGGGCGTGTGGCAGACTCGGAAAGAGGGCTTGGCATGCTCTCTTGGCCAACCAGAAGCCGAAAAGAATCCCCTAGCGGTGGTAGCGAGAAACAATTCTGAGCCGATCGATCATCGAAGGTCTATGTTCGTATATGGTTTTAATAAGTGCGTAAAAGTGAAGTGTAGTAACTCTTTGTGGTTAAAAATAGGGTGCATGTGTTGTTTCATCATGATCATGCAGAAAGATGTAAGAAACGAATGCGCCGCTCAACTCTGTTTTGCGCGGACAGAGCGTGACCGCTCTGACGGCAGATTCCCGGCGCTCGGCGTAAGGATTATGTCGATCTTTCCGCTAGTCGCACTCTTCCACCATCATTTCAGATGAGTGTGATTGAAACATCACGTGTACCATATTTTCAGCCATCGAGAGTTACTCCAATGCAGTTATCAGGTTTGTTTCTTGCGACCACCGCCAGGGTATTATTTCCGGCTTCTGGTTGGTCACATTCGAATTTCTGAAGACGCCCTGGAACACGCCCAGCCCGCTTTCGGCCAATGGCGCCGCTTCATTTGTCTCCTATACTTCCCAACGAATGGCCAAACTCTCTACATATACGGCTCTGGCGTGCCCTAGTAGTTCTATAGGCCCGTAGCTCTCAAGTTTTGAGCAGCGCTCCAGGCGAGCAAAATAAAATATTTGGCTCACGGATCGAACGTGCCCGTTATCACGCTTCCTCACTACAGTTTTTTTATACTCCGTTCCATTCTTAGTGCCAGCGCAGCAGAGGCGAGCTCCGAGCTTGCAGTGTCCCTTCCGAGCACGCGCGCTCGTGCAGTGCGAGCATCGTTCAGGGGAACATGTTTTTGCAAGTAGCTTTAGCTTCGCTATCACGTAAAGTGAAACATACGAGCTCACAGAAGCTATGAAAGAACGCAATATAAGCTGAGGCCGCGAGCTGCATAATTCTTTTTTTTATTTTTTAAACGTTTTGTTATCGGGCGTCTACAGATGCTGACTGATGATTGCATTCGAACGTAGCACGTGCAAAATCGAACGTTACAGCGCTGCCAGGATAGTGCTGCCAGCATAACATGGTCGCGTCTTGCGCACGCGCTTGCGCCCCCTGCCCGAAAGCAACGGGTCTATTGTTTTATGGCGTCGAATCTAGCCGATTTTGGACGTGAAAAGGCATTTTCCGTTCATCAGCACAACAAAGAAGGGAAAAATCTCGGCGATGAGGTCGTTTTGCCAAACCACTCCGGTACCTGATGTTGCGTTTGGGAGGTGACGATCTCAGGGCTATGGCTCGATGCTAGCATATGGCCCCGAGGAAACAGGCCTGTGGGGCTACTGAAGTAGAACTTTTATGTACAGGGAATATACGGGTAGCAAGGTCGACCGTGTATTCGGTGATCGGCAATTGACAATCGACGACTTCGGGCTCTCCGAGCCCATGTTATATAACCCTCGGAGGGCGAGAAGGCCCGCGGAGAGAGAGGGAGTAGCCTCCCCCGGCGTTCGAGTGTTCATGTGGTGTTCGAAGTTCGGGGGCGTCTGATGCCGCGCTTCGGTGGCTGGTGTATAAGGAGTCGACGCACGTGCTGAAACTCAACACCGACAGACCCACACATACACACAAGCACGTACACGTACTCCGGTATTTCTCCTTGCGAGGGCCGGCGGTCCCAGATGGTCTCGTGACCTCCGGAAGACCCTTCTTTTTGTGTTTGGAGCCCTGATCGTAAGCCACCACCGGCCCGATGACTCAAGGGTTGGTCTCGGGAATCTGAGCGTGAATGTCTAGCGTCGTGGCCCGCGTCGGGGCCCAACGCGACAAGAGGTTTTGCTGCCATTGGCGACAGGTGAAGGCCAACTCCAAGGCGGAGCCAAGGAAGCCAGTCGTAACACTGATCAAATTAGCTACCCAAAACGAGGGCACCAGAAGTCTTGCGAGGGCCAATCCGGTGAGTTTGTACTAGCCAAGGAGAGGTCACCGCAGTTAGTTCAAAGCTTTAGGGGCCCTATGTTGCGCTTTTTGGACTCCCACGGCGACTAGGGTGAAGGAAGTGACGTCAACAACGCAGCAAACGCAGGTTGGATGTTTCTTCTGCGGAAATTCTTCGTCAATGACTCTCTCTCATTAACATCCAATCTGCGTTTGCTGCGTTGTTGACGTCACTTCCTTCTCTCTTGTCGCCGTGGGAATCCAAAAAGCGCTACATAAGGCCCCAGGGGTGATCAGTGCATGTGTGTGTTAACGCACCCCAGCTAAAAGCGCGTAAAGCCAAAACTCGTGCTGCAGAACCCAGAGAACCCGGGCTCAAACCTCACCCCTGCCCACCCCACCCATGCTAGCAGCTGTACTGCACTGGCTAAATGTCTCATCTACAGCCGAGAGACAAGTCACCCACTGAGGCTGACTACGTTCCCACTGTCCACACATACATACAAGAGAATTACTTTACTTCAAAGCTTCGACGCAGGAGACCCACGCTCTGGAACGTGTGACACGGGTCGTCTCCCGGCTCGAGCATTTAGCATCTTAGGTCATAGCTTTGACCTGTGCTACGGCAGTGTTTTGATTTCTGCTGTTCCTTTGCTACAGTGAACTAGAATATAGGCGCAGTGGAAAAAGCGTCGGCGGTGCCCAATCAACCGTATGAAGCCAGAAGTGTAGACTGCCGCGGGTAGCGCTGTTGTCGAAATCCGGAGGACATGGCTACTGCAACATGGGATATGGAGTCGCGTACGTTCTCAGGTGGTTTCTGTGGTGTCTATGGTCGTTTCCGCAAATTGTTTGCGTGAATGCAAAGTGCTTGGCATTGTGATTACATAGGTTCGAGTCTTGTCGCTAAGCAATGAAAACGAAGAGAAAGAAAACGGATGCGCACCGCTACGCGCCACCATGCAAGACTAGCTACCCTGGTTTTCACTACATTGCCAAGCAAGCTTTAAACATTATTTCATAGACGTTGAAACACCCATCAAGCATACATAGGCCACACTAATGAACTGCTAAGATCAAAAACAGCTACACTTGGCGCGAACTTCGCTGGCAGGAGTGCTCCGGAATCGAACGCCAGCGCTACCTGGTAGGTTCTGCACGAAGCGCCTCACCTGGAGGCCGGCTATTTTCTACTACTCCTATTCTAGTTCACTGTACTACAGTGTTACTCTACCTTTGCATCTTTCCTGTGATCGCGTGCGGCACCAGATATCATACTCTTTTACACGCGCGACAGTTTCAGATGCGAGTTTGTACTACCCATTACCGATAAATAAGTCGTTTTTTTTTTTTTCTGCAATGCCATTTGAAACGCAGACGGCCTATATCGCTCTCTAAGCGAAATGGTGGTATATCGATCCGCAGTATTTGATAGAAAACCGAGAACATTGTCAACTGTGATTAAAGATGTTCCGAAACCATTTACAAAACTGCCTCCATAGTGACGGCTTCGCCTGCTCCTCTTCATGCAACCGGGTTTTCACATATTTTATTTTTATATTTGCGTTTTTCTCGAAATAGGTTAGTTATTCCATGTATACGTGCATACAATTATTTTTACATTTATAGAATGCTTTCTGTCTTTCAAGGTTCGGGCGTTCATCGTGAAAGAAAAGGAAGAAGCTAAGATGGCGGAGGGTGGGCTCCGAAGCTACCTCTGCAGGTTTTTTCTCAGCGGGACGTGCAGAGAGGGAGATTCGTGCCCCTTTTCACACGAGCTGGTCGCCGGAATGCCGGACAACGTGTGCAGGCACTACCTCCGAGGGAACTGCATGTACGGAAGCAGGTGTCGCTATGAACATATCCCGGCTGGTCGAGGGCACGCCAACAAACCCAAGAACAGCCGAAAAGGTCAGAGCCGACATCGCACCAATGACGGGCACCGAGAGCCGAGCCACACGTCGCTCGCAGCGTCCTCTTCGGGCAGCTCGGCGGAAGGCCAGGGATCCGGACTGCCTTCATCGAGGGTGACACAGAAGAACGGTGGGGTCTCCCCCTACTCGGACACCGATGCCGGGCCGCGAAAGCTCGATACGCATAAGGCGCCATTGAACTGGGTCGACGCGCCTGAATTCGTACCCAAAAGCGAAAGCGGCGTGCAAACGTCAGCGGAATCCCACGCACGCCATCACGAGGAGGCTCCGCAACAGACGCAGGATGTTATAGGAGGCGCACTGAAGCCGCTCTGCCCTTTCAGAGCGACCAGCGAAGGTTGCCTCCTAGGCAAACGGTGCTTGAAGGCGCACCCCGAGCAGTGCGACCTGTGTCAGAAGTGGTGTCTTCATCCTGACGACCAAGAGCAGCGGAGGCAGCACAAAGAGGAGTGTGTCCAGAAGCACGAGGAAGACATGGAACTCTCTTTCGCCGTGCAGCGCAGCGCGGACAAAAGCTGCGGCATCTGCATGGACGTGGTCATCGACAAGGAACCTAGCTCAGAGCGACGGTTCGGCATCCTGGAGAAGTGCTGCCACGTCTTCTGCCTCAGCTGCATCCGGAAATGGCGAGGCTCCAAAGAGTTCGACAGTACGACCGTACGCTCTTGCCCAGAGTGCCGCACTCAGTCGGACTTTGTCACTCCGAGCAGCTTCTGGGTGGAAGTGGGACCCGAAAAGGACAAGCTCATAGCAGAGTACAAGAAGGCCATGAGCGTCAAGCCGTGCAGGTATTTTCAAGAGGGCCGAGGCATCTGCCCCTTCGGGAGGGCCTGCTTCTACCAGCACTTGTACCCGGACAGACGCGAGGCGGTGCTGCCCCCGCCCCGGCGCAGGAGGAGGGAGAACAGGGCATCCGATATCCAGACGCTCCACGGCATGTACCTTTGGGATTTCCTCGACCTCGGCGACCACCTTCTGTTCCCGACGTTCAACCAAATGCTTCCCACCGTCCCGGACACCGACGACGAGGAAATCGAATGGAACAGCCTTCTCGAGCGCTACGCCGCCTTCTGAAATGGGGGCTGCCATCGGGGGTTTCTTTTCCTTTGGTTTTGCTGTTTGTTCGTTTTTTCTTTATTTATTGTAGTTAACTGACTGCAAAGTCACGTGTTTTGCACGTGACTTCGTCATCAGTGTGCAAAACAACTGCCGAAGAAACGAGCAGTGTTTTCTGATGCGAGTGAAATTCTGGTTTTGTGAGACACACAGCCTGAGAACCATACCGAACAAACAAAGTAATAAGAGGAGTTGTTTTGTACCGCTACCTATCCTAGATGTCACTACCTTTCCTGTCTTTTGGGTTAGAAAACCATTTTGGTATGCTGTGTAATGCGTGAAAAAGGGTGCAATATGAGAAGTCGCTGTTTTTACCTGATTTGCAGTGCATTCTAATTGGTGACTTTTTTTTTTTTCCAAAGTCGCTAAGGTGTTGTTGTTGCTGTTGTGTTAATAAATATGCGTATCTATGAAACCAGACCCCGGCTGATTCCTGCTTTACAAAACAAATAATGATTTTCCTCATAGAGCTAGCCATTATATTTGGGACGACTGTCTTCGTAAATAAATTTCTCTCGAACATTCTGATAAACCCGAGGAGTGCAGAATGCATCATGCGTGCATTGCCGTTTCGTTATTCTTTGTTATGCTTGGTTAAAACGATTTTTAAGTGATTTCGGATGCGTTGCGCACATGACAAACTCATGTGCCCCCCGGGTTTTATCATAACGAATGGACAAGTTTAAATTTATTCAGGAGTGGAGCGTGTGAGGAGCATGCTTCGATGCAAAGTTTCGATGGGTTCGGCTTCTGCCGAGGGTGCGTGTAGTGCCTCGAGTTACTATATTAGGGATCTTGGAGAAGTGGCGAGGGGAGGAGGGTTATCTAAAGCCTTTGGACGCAATTTACGGTTCGTGTTTCTTCGAAGTACGGGCAACCATTGTTGCGCGAAAAGCGCAAAACACGTGCCCCGAGCGAGTGCGTGGTGCGTTGCCATTTGCTTCCAAGAGAGCTGCAAGAAGCAAGGGCCTCGTGCTTTGACGCATTTGCCGCTACTCGCAAGACAAAAAAAAATACAAACACGTCGAGGGGCTTTAGGTTTATCGCGCTCGCTACGCTATCTATTGGCTGCGGTACGAAGTCATCCGTTGGTGAGATCTGCCTCGTGACATCGTTGGGTCACGTGGGAGCTAGGTTTCGTCGTTTGGAAGCCACTTGCGCGCGCCGACGCAGCTAGGCTCCCGTGAGTCGTACTTGGTTATGCTGTTTGAGCTAAAGCCCCTCGATGTGTTTGCGTTTGTCGTGCAAGTAGCGTCAAATGCGCGAGTGCACGAGGCCCATGTCTCGAGCGGCCCTTGGAAGCAAATGGCGGCGCAGCACTGAAATGAGCGGGCCTTGGAAGCGAATGGCGGCGCAGCACCCGCTCATGGCACGGGTCTCGCGCGCTTACACAACAATGGTTGGCGGTACTTGTAAAAAACGCTTTTATCAAGGGGCTTTAGTTTGAGCTCCCCTTCAACTCCTTGCGGCGCCGAACGAAGGCCTTGGCTACGGATCCCACACATCGTGGATCGATTGACTGTATACGCTGAGCCGCGTGGTCATGTCTCGCTTGTTTCAATTATTTACACATAATTATGATTACGTATGGTTAATTATGGCTAACCATGCCTACCGTTTAAGTGCTTATGCATTGCCTGCTATAGGAAGTATTCACTGGCGGCCATATCCGTGTGCGCGACTGCTGAGCGCGTGCTGATGGCGAGCTCTTCCACAGTTCTTTTGTAACGTGCATTTCGCACCCTCAAGATTGCCGATCTTTGCAGCCAATTAATGTGGGCTCGTTCAGAGAGCGAACGAGGCCGCGAGGGCGCAGCTAAACGCATGTACCCTGCCCTCAGAAGGCCACGATCCTCTCCTCGCACCGCAAGAACAAGACGAAAGGCCTGCCATACCACCTGACCCAGACGAGATAAAAAGAGAGGAGCGGCTTGCCCGAAAACTCAGGCTCATCTCCCTTCTTCCGCCAGATTCTTATCCGATCCCGCCGGAATACAACCGGTGGGAGGAGGGGAGCATCAGGCGGCTCCAAACAAATGCGGCCATCACGCCCATCTGGCAGGCTAAATTTTATAAGCCTACAGACCCGAACGACCCAGGCATTGACCCCAACTGCGAATACTGCGGTGTCCCGGCAACATGTTTCCACCTCGTGTGGGACTGCGCTGAAAGTTCGCGGTGTCGCGAAGCAGCGTGGAAGAAGCTTTTCCCACAGGCAAGAAGACCCACAACATATGAAGAGTGGACCCTTCCGGACCTCGCAAACCAGCACAGGAAGCAGATCCTCGACTTTCTGTTAGACTTTCTCTGTCTTTCAGAGGTGGCGAGGCATGTATGACCCCCTTTCCCCTTTCTTTTCCCCTCCACGTCACTCCAGATGATGCTACTCAAGAGGATGTGACGAATCCCCTTTGTACATATAATAAATACGTTTCGTATATATATATGCGCTCTAGACATCACCCACAAATATGGCACCCAGTGAATACTCATAGGCTCTGTATACGCTTGTTGCCTTGGCCAGTGTGTAACACTTCTTTGTCACGCTCGAACGTGACGCTTTTTAACATGAAATTCAGCCCATAAACAGATTGGTTTTAAACAAAGTAAAAAATAATAATAATAAAGCAAAGCGCAGACGAGTACACTTCTGACATATGCGTCCTCGTCTGTGTTTTGTCCTTTTCCTGTTTGTACTTTCTGTTCGCCATCAGCAATACTACTTTCGAACAGAAATCACTCGGTATTGCTGTGAAAAGGACCTTTCATGAAGCCGGCTGAATAATATGTAAATTTCTCATTTTTAAAATATCTTCAGAAAAGCAAACTGCGTCCAATCTTTAATGCGCATAATAATAACCAGCATTTGTGGTATAATATAAGCACACACATTAAAGCGCCGTTAACACTCTTGTGACCGAGTAAGACCGAGAGAGACCAGACCGGTTTGTAAGCCTCTTGCGACGTTTTAAGACCGGATGCGTTGCAGTGGAGCTGGTCCTAAGTCATTTGTTTCTCTCCCCTGCGGCAACCTGTCCGGTGACCTGGACATCGATGTCCAGTGCACTCAACAGCAATAATAATAATTAAAAAAAAGACGCGTTCTCGTAAAAAAAAAAAAAGTAAAGAAAAAGGAAACGAAGAGCGCGTCAAGTTTTGCTTTGCAACTGTGATTCCCAGCCTCGCCTTTAGAACTTAGCATATTTTGAGAAAGCTAAGGATTCGTGAATGACGCTCGCTGTCAGAAGGTTCTCTCGCGAGTCTATTCCGCATCACTCCCTTTGGTGATTAAATCAAATTGCCTCGGTGTATTGATCCTGGCAACTTTTCCCGATGAATATTTGTATACCACGTGTGCCAAAAAACTATACAGTCCAGATTTCCCGACTGGAAATCGCTGCATCACGTGAACAGTAACTTCCCGAGCAATACACGTGTTCCGCAAGTTCGTACAAATTCGAGAGTACACACGCGGACCGGCGGAAGCTTCCCTTCCGCGTGTGCCCGTCGACGAAGTCACACGCTGCCTGTCGCCTGAGCGGCGTCCACGATAATCCCATTCGGCCCCACGTCCGTGCACCCTCCCGTCAGAACGCGTCGACACTTTTCATCTTGCACCCCCGAAAATCTGAGCGGCTACAAACTATATCAAATTATGAAAAAAAAAAAAAAAGGGCAGCGCGGCCCTCCGCTGCCGGTTTGTATTTGCTCGTTGCGTTTTTGCGCGTTTTAATTATGGCGCTGCAAAGTTCCCAGATAGCGCTAAACGGCTGCGTGAGCGTGTCGCGGGCGGGTCGGCGCGGCGCACGCGGGAGGTGTCCGACCCCGACTCTCGGCGTTTCCCTAAAAGCTCTCGGCCGTAATCCGAGCCTATCTCAGTGCACAGGGCCAGCCGTGAGTGCCATTCAGTTGCTCATTGTGCTGCCGCTGCTCGCGTTCTTGCGCTTGCCTCTCGCTTTCGGCCCTTGGACAAAAAATCCCGATGACGAAAGCCGATAACTCTCGAGCAGAGCCCTTCTTTTTTTGTCGCTCTCACTCCAGGATTTGCCCCCCCCCCCCCCCCTTCCCTTCTTTCTATTTTTCTCCCCTATTCGCTCTGCTTATTTCTTCCCGTCTCGACAGTTTGATCTTTGCGGCTGGAGCTAAATTCGGCCCTGGGAATCTGACAGATGTCCCCCTGTTTGTGGGTGCTGCCTCCGAAGCCTTTCCCGCGTGCCCTCCGCGGCTGCCGAGAGCGTGCATTCGCGTGCGTGTGTTTGTGCCTCGGCCGGATGCATTATCTGCGCTTATCGGCTCAATCGGTAAGCGAGTCCGTTTATTCACGGCCCTCGCTTCACTGTGAGAAGATGGGTACCGCCCAGTCGAGGGCGGCGCTCCGTGCTCTGCCGGCGGCGGTCGTTCTCTGTGGGCGAGTTTTCTACCTGTGCGAACGCGTACAGCGCCGAAGACAAATATCGACTCAGCCAAGGAAAGAAGGCGTAAAGCGCCATACCGCCCTGGTCCACGCCGGGGCAAGAGGGGAAGGCAACTGACACAAAGGAACAATAAAGCTTCGAACCGTGGTTAAAAGTGCTACAAAGACGAACACAAGAGAGAAGACAAACTCACAACTGTATCTGAAAAAAAAGAAGATAGAAGTACACACACACATATATACAGATAGATAGATATATACAAGATGTTCCAAAAAAATTTACAGGGATTTTTTTTCTACCGCGAAAATAAGCTATGCTTGCCCAACGCTTATTCTCCGCCAAAAGGTAGCGATAGAGATCCGAACCAAATACCAACGTTTCCGCACGAACCGATATTTAATTCAAAAGTTATAAGTCGGATTTTCTGAAAATTTCAATGCGAAAATGAGGCCCATTTTCGCCGGTTTTCGGTTTCTGGCGTCATAGAGCGCCATGTATTCGGGAGATCCGTCGGCCACCAATTTCTCAGTGACATTTTCAGAA